TGCAGTTGAGCACATTACGGCTACAATTTAATTACACACTTGAAATTTAGTTTTGCTTTTGCCTTTTTCAGCATCGGCCTCTAACTAGTGTTGAGCAACATCACAATTACGCTCAGCTACTGATTAGCCAACACTGCTGGCAGGGCTGCAGTGCATGCAGTTTGAGAGCCATTGCAAGCCTAACGCTTATTTCAAATATGCTTTGATTAAACAATTTTATGTTGTTCCTGGAAAATATGTTTCTGAATTTAATTATAGTTTTATTCTTAATGTGCTTCATTGCTTAACAACTGGAAGCAGCAAACTATATAAATAGGTATTTAATTCAAAGTAAACGTATTCGACAATTGGTGGCGCCGCATTGACAATAAAGTACCTTGCCAGGAACCACGCCCACCTCATAGTTATAGTTCCAAGTGAGTTCGGTGCCGGAGCGTATGTGGTTGGCCGAAAAGAAAGCGACCCAGGGAAAACGCAGATCGTGCGTGTCCACAAAAACGTTTTGCACAAACAAATTGGGTGCACACGAATGCTGCAAGAGAAAAAGTATAAATTATAGGTTGTGAGAGCAGACCGTAACGCACACGCTTCTTACATTAAAGTAACGTCCCAAATTGCCAGTTGTCTTTGCATCCATTATGTAGGGCGCCTCATCTTTGCCAAAGAGTCGTCGCACTGAATTCTCGCGCACCGTTTCATCCAGATCGGCATTCGGATTAAAATTAATCACCGCCCGCTCTTGAGAGTCCGGCTCATTGGATTGGGTCGAATGGCTGCGGGAGGCACGCAGTTTATCCTTCTTGCGCGGTTGATAATACTTGGCGGGCGTGAAGTCAGCATCGTCCTCTGGATCTGGCACATTAGGGTCTTCTTCCTCTTCCGTTGCCGAGTGCTCAACATCCGATTCGTAGCCCTCCTTTAGCTGCTCGGCCACCTCAATGTAGTCCAAATCGGCAAAGTACTCATCGCCTGCATCCAAGCCACCCTCGTTGGCCATAGTCTCGGTCAGCAGGTGGCCGGCATAAATGCATATGAATGCACCCTTGGGTATATCGTTTACGCAGCGCAAGCCCCAACCACGATTCGAGGTCTTGAAGACCTGCAGCTTCATTTCCAGCGAATGTTGCACCACACGATTTAGGCAGTTCTTTTTACACTTGCAGCGCGAATTACATTCATAAATGCCAGTTGTCACCTGCTCATGTAGACGCTTGTATTGATACCCAATCTCCTCGATTGGCTTGTTGGGATTACAGTATCGGACACCCGCGACCGTCAGCTGCCAGCAGGCACACTTTGATTTGTCCTGCAAATAAAACACATTAGATGGGTTTCATGTGGTAGCCTTACTCTCTTACCGAGCAATCGTCCTCACAATCACAGCCCACCAGAAACTCCTCGTCCAGATTCAGATGCACACCTTCCGTGGGTATACGCTGTTTGGCGTACGTGCAGGGCGGTGGCAATGTGTTGTCATAGTAGTTGACCAGCGGTATGGCCATTTTCTCTTGACCCTTGGATATATCCGCTTCCTTGACTATAGTGGGATCAATAGAGTATTCCGCCAGGCACCGCAAATCAGGCGTAAAATCAAAGTTTTCCACGTTGAGAACATTCTCCGTGGCACGCAGATAAATGTGCACCTCGGCCAGATTGCGAAAGCTCTTGCCACAAGGGCCCCGATAGACAACGTTGCGCTTAGCCTTTTGCTTGAACACCAAACGTTCCCAGCCAGACAACAGTGGCTTAGCCAGCGGACTGTAGCTATCCAGGCGGTGAACTATCTTAAATAAACAGGCCGGCGTGCACTCATGCGGTGTGTACATTTTGGGCGGCAAATTCCGCTTGGCTGTGAAGTAGACAACATGACCTTTGGGCCGATTCTCGTCGTCAACATAGATGGTGGAGTTGTTCAGATGGCGAACAGTGTTGCGCGCTGCAGCAGCGGCAGCAGCATTGGCAGCGGCCGCTGCAGCCGAGGATGACGATGTCATATTGACGTTCTGCGGCGCCGCACTGCTCTTACGGGCTATGGCGCGCATTTGTTGATTCACCTGTCTGCTGCTCGTCTCCATCTCCTTGGTGTATCGTATGAAGGGTTCGGTGCGCTAAACAGAGAATGAGCATTGTTTATATTATTCATTTTTGGTAACTAATGCAACTTACGCGCGGCACACGATGTTGCTGCATGGCATTCGCGCTGTTAAGCGCATTTTGTGTCTCCTTAAACACCGGTCCCAGACGCAGGGAGCCACGATAGATCCACTCGGTGTGATTCTTGTCATCGTCGAACTGCATCTGCACCAGACTGCAATCAATATCGATCACGCGCGCATATAACCAGGTGCCATTGGACTCCGTATTCATATTCTGGCCACGGGTGCACTGCACCATGGGCCGATCCACTGAGTATTTTTCCACATATTTTTGTATAAAGTCTCGCGAGCCGGGATGCACATCCTCCCATACTTTTTCCGATGCCTGGCAAACCAAACGCACATCGTTATGCTGAACATACTGAGTATAGCCGTCATCATAGAAGATTAGGTATCTAAAGCGATTGGCTTGCTTTAAGGGCTCGGCTATAATGCCTGGGTAGAAGGCGCTGGGTACCACGCCTTTTTCCTTGCCGCGCGACAAGGTGCTGCCATTGAAATAGGCTATAACACGCGTGCCTGTCGATCAATCATGGTAAATATTGGAGATTAATGGGTATGGAATAGATTTGTTTTACCTATGGTCAAGCGCACGGGGGGCGGCTCAAAGTAGGCTAGATGTTTGGCTGTTACGGTCTTTACCATTTGATATGGCGTATTCAGATACTTAATCTTGTAGCTCTTCACCAGATTGCCGCCCACAGTAGTGCTCTCCGTGAACTCAATTACTTTGACCGATACCCAGCTGGCGATTGCTTTGTTCTTCACCGCATAGTAGGTCTCATTGAGCTGTATAGGCGGACGCTCTATCTCACCCGCTGGCGGAACTTGCTGCAAAGTAATCAAGATAGTTAATAATCTACTTTTTCATTTATGATCAGGTACACCCACCACATAGTCACTCATGTTCTGGTATAGATCAAGCGGCGGCAAATGTTTGTGCACCACTTGACAGGAGCTGTACAAAGCGAAGTGCATTTTGTCGGCCATATGTTGTAGCTTACTCAGCTCTTCGTTGGCCAGCTCAATTTCACGGCCTATGCGCTGAGATTTTGCTTGCAATATGCTCTTGGACCAAGCCATTTGATCGTCCAAATCTACCCTGTCGATAACAGTCTTAATCGCATCCTCTAGCTCTTCTTCAATTAGCTCCAAGTCATTAGCCGAAAATTCGGGTTTGTCTGCAAGTTTTAAATGAGTTTTTAATATGTTTTATTAAGCTATGAGTGCGTTTACCCTGCTCTTCATCGTTTTCCTCCTCGTCACTGCTGTCCAGGGCCACAAAATCTGCATGATCCTGGTTAAAGCTGCGCAACAACAGCGGCTGCTTGGCCACCAAATGGCCCGCATAGTCCTACAAGATTTGGATGTACATTATACTATATGCCTAGTTATATTTTTGTGGTTAGCTACCTACCTCGTACATGTCCATAGCTGTGTCATAGCAACCCAGGCAGATGTACTGCCGTTTATGCGCCTTTCTGGGCACCTTGTAGTAGTTAAGCGCTGCCAGGCTGGCACGAACGTATTGCTTATGCATCTTCTCGCAATTGCAATTGAGGCAATCCTTCTTGTAGTAGATTTCATTATCCGTCTCAAATTCCAGGGATTCCTTTGTGTCACCTTCTGGTAACGTTTCTTTTGGCAGCTCGACGAGACAGCCATTTTCTACGTCTTCCTTACAGGTGTCTGTTTCCATGACCTCCGCTTGTTGTGATTCCGCCAGTGGTACAGATTTGACCGCATCGGGCACATCATCAGTTTTCACTGGAATTTGATCTGGCAAGGGGTGTTCTGGGCTGGCGGATGTGGGCACAATTTTTTCAACTGTAGTTTCAATTGGCATAGCTTTATCGGCCTCAGTTGTTGGTTTGGGATCCTCTTCCTCTGCACTGTCATCCTTGCTAATTAGCTTTAGCTCTTCCTTGTCGGGCATACTATTTGATGCCTCCATAGCTTCTGGTTTAGACGCTGCTTCCGCTGGACATAAATCTGGTTTGATACCTTCAATACTGTCTTTGTCCGGACTGCTAATCAATTCAATGCTGCTGTCGCTGTCCATCTTAATATCCGGTAAATTATTTTTGGCAGGCAGCTCTTCGACTGCGGGGCTATCGATCAATTCAACGCTGCTATCCAAATCATCTGCGATTGACTTAGCCGCATCAGTTGAATCAATTATTGGGCCAGCATCTTCCTTTGTTGTGGTTCCGTAAGTTTCCTCAATAGAACTTTTATCCTTGTCCGTATCATCTGGCTGATCGGTAATTGGGCTGCTGATTAGCTCAATTGAGGAGTCTGTATCTTCTTTCGATGTAATTTCGCTGACGCTCTTGTCTTGTTCTGTTGTATCCGCTTTTGTTCCACTGCTGTTGTCAGTTTCAGATACTTTAGTTTCGTCTCCTACTAGTTCAGCGGCAGCAGGCTCGACACTTTGCTCAAAGGCTGCAGCCATCAGTGGCTCACCCGGCAAGTCATCCAAGGCCATTGGCTCTTCGCGACCAGTCTGTTCCGCCTCCTTCTCAACCAACGGTTCCGATTCTCCCTCAGTGGTTGTTTTCCTGGCCGGCAAAAGTTTTTCACTCGCGGCTGCATCAGTTGTAGCGTCAATTGATGCCGCATCCGCGTTTTCCAAGGATTCCATTGCAGCCGACTCCGCGGCCATATTTTATTTTACAATTATTAACTTTTATTTTACAAAACTAGCATTGAAAATGTTTTAAAACGGTATTGCAAAAAAACCAAAGCAGTGAACGGTGTTGCGAAATTTGTACGCCTGATTAAATGTGGCGTTTACCAACACACTCTAATAACAAAAAGAAGCATAACAAGCCATTCATCACGAATCTTCTAGTTGGCGCTCGATTTAATTGAATAAATATATTTGTTTCAGATGTTCATACGATTTATTGAATTTTTATCTTTGTTCCGGCGGTTTTTAAGACTGCTTAATGTCGGGCTTGTAGCCGTTCTCATCGGCGGTATAGGTTACCTTGATGGTTTTGCCCTCCTTCGATATATATTCATATGATCCCTTAACAGAGAGGGTGTGAGGGTCTGTCAGCTGTCCATCCTGATTGACTGAGGTTCCGTCAGAAGTTTCCCAGGCGTATTTGAAGCTATCAGGATTCACTTCATTGTATTCTTTAACAACCGTAGAAGAATCAGCGTAGGCAAGGGCCAAAAGGCAAGCGAAGACAATCTGAATAAATGCAATTAAAATTGTTTATATGCAAAAGAACTATAATTGTTAACATTAATACTAACCACAAACTTCATGTTAATAAGGATTCTTTGTTGTCAGTCGGCAAACTGCGAAACAGAACTTAATGAAATCCAGAATTTAGCTATGCTTTTATAGTCAACCGAAAGTCGGATGACATTTCGCGACTTGTCCGACGACTGGTCTAAATTTAATCAAACTTGATCTTAAGCATTTTGTGCTGCGATGCAGTCATGTCCGTTATGAACATTATCATTATTTATAAATGTTATATTATATGGTATATAATAATATTTCACCAAATCCAAAGGCTTACAAATTCAATGTCTAAAATAGCTTAAAACAATGAGCAAATAATGCCAAGCATGTGCAAAATTAGTTCTTACTTATCAATTATATCATTTAATTAAATCACCAAAAAATTCAATTACCATATTTATATAACTCGACCGGTTTGCTGAACATTTCTTACTTTTTTTTTTCGAATGCACCAGACTAATTAGCTGGATCAAAAGCCGGTTTTGAAAAAAAGTAAAAATAAAATAAACCAGACGGAATTACATGTCACATTAGTGTCAGTGTTTAATTTGACAAAATTGTTGAAATAAGTTAATTAATTAATTATATTAATGCATTCAAAAAAGGCGCAATCTATATCCCTTTCCAATACTGACGCAAGAAGAGGAAGCATGCATTGCCAAATTGAACATTCACAACGCCAGTAAACATTTGACACGTGCTGAAGCGGTTTTAGTTTTGTTTAGATTGTTTTCATATTATTAGAAAACAATGGCCGGTAATGACGGCGACTCGGACTCTAGCAGTGACTATGAGGTGGAACTGCATGTGAAGCCTAAAAGAGTGCGTCGCCCAGTCAATGATGACACTGCCGATCTTTTGGGTAACTTCGATGACGAGAAACGCAAGGAGATTTTTGAAGGTACTTATGTAGACAAAGAAACTGCAAAAAATCCAAGCGATTCGAATAGCAGCGATGAAGCCGGATCTGATCCAGCCGAAGACAACGACGACGCAGTGGGCCAAGTGGCTGATGCTGCGGGTGCCGACAGCGACGCCTCCGCGTCCGAGGAAGAACCCAATGCCGATGGACGGATAACCAGTGACCAGTTGAATAGCTTGCTGCGTGGTGCCTCCAAGGTGAACAGACACGTACTCTACGTTACAAATCTCAACTTTGAGACTACAAAAGATGACCTGGAGTCACATTTTGCAGTGGCTGGCACAGTCAAGTCCATACGCATCCCAAAGAAACGCCGTGGTGGTTTCGCCTTTGTGGAAATGGTGGACTTGGCTGGATTTCAGCAAGCCTTTCAGTTGCACAACACTGAGCTGCAGGGCAGAAAAATAAAGGTGCAAATATCCGAAGCGGGTAAAAAGAAGTCAGCCAACAAGAAGAACATAATCAAACAGAAAAATCGCAAATTGGCCGAGATGCGCAACGAACAGAAGACGTTTACAAAGAGTGGCAAATTCTACGATAAGGACCTGAAGAAAGAGAAGGCCAAGGAGCTGCTGGCGCGTAAGCGCTGGCGTAAGCCTAAGGCTAAGTAATACTTATTAATACGCTAATGTAACAACTTAGTAAAAGACTATTATTTAAATATAACTTAAATATTAGAAAACAAATGTGTATATATTTTTACTATTGCCATCGCACAATGTAAAAGTTGCGTTTACCCACGCGCAGTAAGGACACACCATTACGGAGGATGTGTATGCCGGTTGTGATAACTTCCGCAATGTTCTGTACACGCTTCTGGTTAATATAGAATCCACCAGCATTGATGATACGCACAGCATCAGCTAAAAGAAAGCTTTTTAGATTTAGGTGTGTGTTATATTCGGACGTAACTTACTTTCTGTGGGAAAACATTTGGCTTTCATTGCCAGCTGTAGAATGGACATGCCCGGTTCAGTAAGTATATCAACCACGGCTGCGCCCTGAAACGTTTGTTTGATTTCAGCATAGTTCAACTCGGCCAAACCGTCAACGTTGCCCTTGTAGAGGGCATTGGTAACGCGCTCCGCTTGCTTTAAGCCGTGCTCTGCAAAATAAACATAACAGGAATTAAATAAATAAAACAAATCTGTATTTACCGCCATGCACCAGCAAGGTGACATCTTCCGCCAGTAGCGTCTGCGCTTTGCGTTTTTCCGGTTCCTTAGCGTGCTCTCGCATCAGTTGCTCCACCTCAGGCAGCGGAATAAAAGTGAACAGTTTCAAGAGCTTCTCCACTTCAGAGTCCGGCATGCGCAAAAAGAATTGATACAATGCGAAGGGGGAAGTCTTATTTTCGTCTAGCCATACTGCATTTCCTGCCGACTTTCCAAACTTGTCTCCTTCCTCATTGGTAACTATTGGCAGTGTCATGCCAAAGACTTCGCGATTGCGCTCAACCCGACTTATCAATTCATGTCCCGTCATTAGATTACCCATTTGATCGGAGCCACCCATCTGGAAGCAACAGTTGTGTTTGCGCAGTAAATGCAACCAATCGTAGGCCTGAAAGATCTGATACGTAAACTCCGTAAAGCTCATGCCATCCTCCGATTCCAAGCGCGACTGGACAGAGGATCTCGACAGCATTGAGCCCATACGAAAATGTCGACCCATATTCGCAACAAAGTCAATTAAGTTTAGGTTCGCATACCACTCAGCATTGTTAACAATTCTATGGAAAATTGATGGTACACATAAGAAGGGACGATCAGCTGTCATATACATATACTCACGTTAGCGGTGCGAGCGGAGATCTGTTTTTTCGTGTATCCCACAGGCAATCCTCATGGTTCTTAAACACTTTACGCAGTTGTCGCTCAATGGCCTGTAGGTTTGCGTCCAGCACGGACTCGCCCAATTGATTGCGCTCCGTTTTACGTCCACTAGGATCACCAATCAGGCCAGTGGCGCCTCCGACTAGAGCTATCGGCTTATGGCCGGCACGCTGGCAGTGCAAAAGACCCATAATCACAAGCAAGTTTCCAACGTGCAAGCTGTCGGCAGTGGGATCAAATCCAGCATAAATGGTTTGGGCTGATCTCTCGAACAGTTCTTTTAACTTTGGTCTGCAGAAAAACTGATTTTCATACAATATTTTGGGAGGGTTAGCAAATTAACTTACGCTGCAGTGTCTGGAAAAATGCTCTGAAAGAAACCTCGCTCTGATAGTTCCAGCAGATTTTTGTGTGTTAAATTGCGCTTAAAGTTGCAGCAGCTGCTGTGCAGGGGCCGCAGCAGGCGAAATCTTAATGCAAGCATTGTGCAAAATTTATCACAGAATTTAAATTGTGTTGCAGCAGTATAAACTTAAAATTGAGGTTATGCTGAATGTTTTGCTACTCGGACATACAGCTGGCGCGCAACAGCTGTAGCGCTGCAGCCTTGCGCTATAAGGTTGTGATTTTCAGAAAGTGACGTCATAATTGCAAGTTTGAGTACTCGCGCATGCAAGTGAATCGCGTAACCTTCTTGTTCGCTTGCAACTCGTATATAATGCATTTGTGTTTGTGTTTGTTTTTCAAAACAAAGACATTTTCTTAATTAAATGTTTAAAAGTGTTTCTGCGCTGTAATGACTATTTTTGTATTTAACTGTTGACAATGCTGCTGAAAATTCGACACGCACTGCTTGAAGTGACCAATCATCAAGTATCCAAGCAGTCAGCCAAGCAATCGGCGGTTATAATCAACAACGAGATCATAATTAGCTGTGGCAATATATTGCAGCCATTCATTCGTCCAGATGGAGATGGTTTGAAAATTATCCAGAGCTTGCAGCAGTGCAAGCTGGTCGATGCCCAGGACGGACACTGTGCTGAGGGCAAACTGCTGCGCACTTTAAGTTATCTGGTGACCTTTGATCGACAGCGGCGCCCACTGACCGATCGCAGTGCTCAACATAGTTCTGGCCATTCAGCCCACATACTAACGCGCTATACGGCCCAGCCTTTGTATGTGTTCTGTGCCGCAGAAGTGTCGCGCAATCTGCACAAGATACTGATGAATGCCGACAATGATGAACAAAATGTGCTGCGCTCTTGTTTTTTGGTGCTTACTATGCGGGAGTTAAAGGAACGTGAATCCTTTAAGCGTTTCCTTCAGCACATTGCCAGCTATTTGCGCTACCTGCAGCCAATTCATACACTGGACGATGTGCTTGTTATGTGCTCGCCCTTTGGCTTGGAGAACTTCTACAAAACCATAAGCATTGGCAAGGTATCCAATGTGATGGGCAGTTCGCTGTTTGGTCTGTCTAATGCCTTGCCCCTAGGCTGTGAGGGGGCTGCGGTATTCAACAATAAGCTGTACGTTGCCTTACATCTTTTAAATTTATATGTATATATAATAATGTATTTACATTTCAGCCGGCTTATAGGCATTATCATCTGTACTTCGTTCCAGAGGGAACAGGAAAACGTCAACCTGACTTTGGCTGCCAATTTTGGTTATCTTTTGCGAGATTTTATGGAACAACTAGGCACCCCCATTACTATGCTAAGCTTGCCACGAGAGCCGTCCGATTTTGCGTGTATGTAAATTCCATTTTAAGATTTGAACGTAACTAGTTTCGTTTCCAAACAAAGGGGAACGCACAATTGTGGTCATCGAGTCGGCTGGTCAGCAAGGAACTGGGACTTACATCAAAGTGCACAACAAGCGCTTCATTCTGACCTGCGCGCATGTTGTTGGTCAAGTAAATGAGCAGAATTATGCCTATCAATATAAATTATTTAAACATTATTAATTACAGCCAAACTCCCGAGTGCACTGCCGTGCTATAGATCGAGAATTCAAATCTGATGTTATTTGGTGCAATCCCGATGAGAATCGTCCATACGACTTGGCTCTGCTCACCGCGCCTCCGGATGTGCCCGAGCATCATTGCGTTCGTTTGGCGCGTAATCGCGCTACGTTGGGCCAAACGGTTTACAATGCAGGCTTTCCATACTATGTGAACTTTAACTTTAAGTACGACTTCAATCCTTCCATATTCCAAGGGCGCATCATCAAGTGTGATCAGGGCGCGCTTATGTCCGACGGCAGCGTGCAGGCTGGGCAGAGTGGTGGTCCAATGTTTGACCAAAATGGCAGTATTCTCGGCGTTTGCGTGTCCAATATTAAACATGAGGAAATTGTCTATCCAAATATAAATACCGCCATTCCGACGTTCGATATACGTCAAACACTACAGGAATTTGCGCGAACAAGTGGTGTGTAGAAAGCATAACTCTACGAAAAACGTTTTTTACATCATTTTTATAAATTATTTTTTTAGATATTAAGGTGCTAAACAACCTTGTTGCGAGCCAGGATGTCTGCCGAGTCTGGTCGCTGGATATGCCGCCCATCCAAAGCAAACTTTAAATTGTTTTTAACTTGTAAAATGTGCATATATACATGTGCAAAAAGATATTATTTGTTACAATGTTATTTTTGTATACTTATATTAAGAAAAATATATATATGTATAATTTTTTAAATAAAACTTTTTGTATTTGATATTGTGAACCGATTAATTCTTGTCCAAGCAATCATTAACATGACTTTGCAAAACAGTCAAAGCGCTAAACGATTTCGAGCAGATGGGACATCGCAATACAGAATCCGAAGTCCTAGCGGCTGCGCCTGTGGGATCTAAAACCTTATAAAGGTATATTAAAAACAAGTTAATACCGAGCTATATGTAAACTCAAAGTGATTTCATACTCTTACTGGTCTCTGCTCGTCTCGCAGGTTGTTTTTGCTGGCGCCTAATGTAGATGAAGCATGGCCGGACTTGTTGGATTTGTGCGCTTCGGCTAACGCTTCGATTAGCTCTTGATTGCGCCGCTGTAATGCGCGCAGATCCACCAGATACTGTTCCTTTTCGCCAGCGTTCTTTTCACGATCAGCGCGCTCCATTTCAAAATCGCGTCGATAAATATCAATCTGTGTCTTCAAATGTGTTATCTCATCATCTTTTTGTGCATCTTTTGCCTTTAACGCATTGACATCGGCACGCATGACATTTAAGAGCTCCTCTGCGCTGGTTAAGTTCACCTTCAAGCAATCTATTTCCTCAATATAGGTTTTTTTCTAAAAATTAAAGAATTTATTAGTTTATTACGACTGGTTTTTTATGCGGTACAAACCATGTCCTTAAATTCCAGATTTTCGGCCAATAATGCAGACATCTGTCGCTGCAGATCTTTGACTTCATGTTCGTCTAATATTTTCTTATAATCCGGCTCGGGAATACTCTCATCAGGCACATACTCGTAAGAATTCTGTAAATGTTGAAATTGTTTGCTTTGTGATTAAGAGAAATAGCAAGTACACTGCGCATATTAATATTAATGCAGAACAGTATCTTATCATGAGTAGGACAGAACGATAAGAATTGCAGTTGTGTATTATTAGTTGGCCTTCAGAGTAGTTACCAGTTGGTGCTTCTGCAGCCTGTCAATTTCAACACGCATGTTGTTGATCAGCGATGATTTTTCTGAAACACTTTGCCTGAGCTCATCGTGCTCCTTCTGGTGTATCTCTTCAACCAAATGTATTTGTTCCAAGTTCATTTCCAATTCCTTTTTCAGCTGTTGATTTTCCTCGCTTATCTTTTCGATCTGTGTTTGGCATTCCTTTAATTGCTCCTGATAATTTTGCTCTCGGGCGTTTGCTTCCATGCGCCATTGCTGTGTAATTTTGTAATATTCCTGCATAGTGTGCGTGACTTTATCCAACGTTTCTGCATAAAAAGTTGTTTCAGATTTGTATATTAGAATTTAGCTAGCATCTACTTCAAGATCTTACGAATTAGTGCGCTATGTTTAAATGTATGAAAAGGATTACTCAAGTTTATAATATATAAAAACACAAATCTGTGTTAGTTTAGGTAAGAAATACTTTTTATACATGTCCATTGTCCTAAATGTAAACAGATTTGCACCTTTATATAGCACAAAATGAATAATACTGGACATACGTTTTAATGCCATGTAATCGGTCATCATCGTCTGCAGCTTTACAACATCCTCGGCGCAGGCTTGCATCGAGCAAAGGCTGGGAAACTGTGAGTAAACGCTGTTCTGCTGGGTCATAACTCAATCATTAAATTCGGAAAATAATATATAGTTACAATGAATGCATACCTTAAGCACATCGGGATTAACCTCGCCCATTAGAAAACTTGCTGCCAACGAACTTTGCCCTGAAGGCAAAGTTGCGGGCAGGCTTTCCTCCATGGAATTGGCCTTCTGAGTTATAGCACTCACTTGAGTCGAGCTGGATGGGGTTTCAGCAGCCACCGGCTTTGGTAATTCTTCAGCTTCCTCGGCAGTTCCATTTTCTTCCTTGTCCAATGCATCGGTTAGCAATGAATTGCCGTGCGAGCAGAGCGAAGATAACGGCGAACTGCCCAAAATAACGAACGAGTCTTCTTCGGTCATTTCGTGTTTACGTTCGACTTGACACTGAAAATACAAAAACATTCGAAGTCAAACCTATATTCGTGTGCGACAGATATCAAGGGGGAACCCCCGTTTTGCTAACATATTTTTGTAGACTTGATGTAATTCAACGTCACACGGGTTAATCGATAAATGGGCAACTATGACCTATACACCTGAGTGCCCAGCCAATTTGTGTTTTGGCAGTATATATTAATACATACAGTTACATATACAAGTGTAGTTTTATCTATTTTTGTGTTTCATAGTGAATGGCATTTCTAGGCTTCCCCGCTTGCTGCGTCATTAGAAATATTATTGATATTACTCATGTACATTTTATACAAACCTTATCTGCAATGTTTCCTGATAAAATTCGTCTTTCTTTTGTTTCTTTAGAATCGGAGTTCAGTTAATTACTTTTATATTTGTGCATTTTGTGGATTTGTCTGGAAGTGTGACCAGGGAGATTTAGTTGAACAGCTGTGTTTGTGTGCAACCTGATTTTGAGCCTTCGCGCCATTTTACAGCACTGCACAAAGAGTGGCGGTTGTTGGCGATTTTTTCAAATTAATTTCATTTTGAACATGGCAAACACAAACTAAATAAGCTAAAGAACTTGCTACCGGTTCACATATGAGTTAAATTATATTGCGAAACGATTAATGCGGTCTTGTATATTGTGACTCAAGCCGAAAATATTTATTAACCAAAATTTGATTTACACGACAATTATTGAATATTCTGACTCTACCCAAATCTATTTTAGTTGAAGCATATAATACCTGCAAGAGGTTATTGTAAAGATGACTTGAACAACTGAAAATAAAATTATATTTTAAAGAGTTTGTTTCAACCCAAATATATCAGGCTTACCTGCTAGATAAGGTAAAAATAAAAACATATATGGTAGAAATGAGCTTAAGATGATGCCAGCAAGAAATATTTTTGCCCAGTGCTAGACAGAAAACAGAATTAATTAGAAACATTTCAGTTGGCTACAAACGACTGTTCAATACTCTGCTCACAGTGTAATAGTAATATACATTGCGTTAGCGACTCACTGACTCTCAAATTGTCAACAGAAAAATAATATGAATATTTACCAGCCATACAATTTTTGGATAAATCCAAGTCACATACGGACAATATACAATATATATAAACTCTTTTTCCCTATGTAAGCAGAGTATGAAATCGAAAATTAATCGAAATAAACTTAAGCACTTACTTTAAGAACGCCCAGCAACAAGAGAATACCGGCCAATATATGCAGCACTATTAAAGCATAACAAAGACAGATAACTGACGTTTCTTAAAATGGAAGGACGATTTTCATATTCTACTCATGATACAAATCCTCGATTATAAAAACTTACCAGCTTTTAAAAAAATACCAACGAGTATCGAAATTACGCCATTTACAAGTGTCCAGATAGAAAAAAACATGGCTTTTGCCTTCAGCGAACAACAGAGGTTATCCATACACTCACAGCTTTCGCAAAGACACATCTTATTTATCAAGTTTACACTTCGCGATTTTAGATAAGTTTTACAATTTTACTTAATTGTATATATTGAAACATAAATAGTAACTAGTTTTCAAATGCTTTGTTGATGTCCAATTGATTTGGGCCAGTTTACTTGCTGGACAGCCGCGAGCGACAAAGTCTTGGCGGTACTTTTGCGGTACAGGACGCCATTTTTGTTATCCTATCATAATTTAAATTGCCGCCAGTGTAACAGAGTCTTTGTCCAAATGAAAAAAGTGTTCGAAACGGTTTAAACTTTTGTTTTTTTACAAACGGTAAAGTTCAATGGGCAAAGTTACATTTCCCTTGAAGAGAACGGTCACACGACGTTCACTTTATAATTCCATACTTCTGCTGCTAGAAACAGAGGATCAACGAAGTCTAAATCAAATCGAAGTCAGTCCCAAAAAAAACTATTGTTCAATAATTCATAGCAACTGTTATATCTAGGCCCCCGGCTTGTTTCATTATACCTTGACGATAGCTCACAGGTTTCTTTTAAAATTCTATTAGCTAAGGTAGCTTCATTTAAGTTTTTGTATTGCCAGTGCTCTCTAGTAAGTGTGACTAGAGTGAATTTAGCTGAACAGCTGTTTTCTGTTAGAGCAACTTAACTTATTGGCTTGAAAGCCACTTGTGCAGTTTTACAACACTGCACGAACAAAGGCAGAAGCCCGCATTTATTTAAAACCAATATAAGTAGACAAAAAATGATCAAACAAAAACAAACTGTGCAACAGAAATCTCGATATCTGAATACATGTAAATATATAGGCAAATTGAAATGCCTCTGTTACATCTTTATAAAATACGTTAAATTATGTAGGTTATTAATCTTTTGTACTATAGTTCATTAAAGCAATTTTTCATAAAGCTTTATAGATAAACAAATAAAACAAAAAGTAAATACAAATTGACAGCTAAAATTATTTATAAACTCCCATCTAAAAGTCCCTATATCGAGTTAATTAATTATGGAACAAAGCAAAGGGCAACCAGATAAGCCAGTTTTTTTCTTTTTTGGCATTACATGGGGCGGATTGTAATTATCAAACTCAGTTCTAATTGCTGGTATTTCAGAATTGACATCATTTTGAGTGATAAATGTGATTCAGAACCGGATTCGCATTTTATGGCACATTTTCATTGTTTCCATTGTTCGGTTTAAAGTACACACACATATTTCTTTATAATGTGGGTTAATGAGGCGTTCGCGTGTTGATTAGAGTACAAGCGACAAGGAACTGGATTCCGTATGAAGATGCTTTGTTATCGCCACTTTCATTGCATAAACATGTGTGCATAATCGTTTTAAACTGGTTTCCATTTCAGCTTGTCAAATAAAAATGTGAAGTTATTTATTTAGTTTATAAGAATCTCTATTTCAGCTTATAGCTAATGCACACAAATAAATAAAATTATGGAAAAACTTAAACGTTGTCACATCATTTACACAAATACGAAATTCAATTAAAGCACAGAAGATTCCACATGCAAATATATCACATTCATAACTCTCTCAGACATCCAATGCACTCAATCATAATGCTTACATCTAACTAGGATCTAGTACAAATTAAACTGAACGCAGCCTGCGCCGCACTTACGCCTGCCCCTTGCCGTAGTAGTAGCCGGCGCTGGCCAGTGGCTGGGACTGCGTCTGCGTCTGTGCCTGGCGGAACTGTCGTCGCACCTGCTGTGGATGCGGCGGTTGCAGCTCCCGCTGCAGTGCAATGGCCGCAAAATGTTGCTGCTTGAGTGCGCTAATTGTGGCTATTTTGCGGTGTCTGTTGGGGCGCGCCAAACGATACGTTTCCAGATCATCGTCAACCGGCAGCGGACGATCTTTGTCCTCCTCCACGGGCGTGCCATCGGTACGCAGGCGTATCACCAGCGGTCCGCTCAGATACCTTTGCGGCGGCTCTGCCGTCAGAGCGGCGGCAGCGGGCAGTTCAGACTGCTGAACTGTTGCCTTGGCCTGGCCGCCGCCATAGCCATAGGCCATGTCCATGTCCATGGCATATTTGTGCTTATGCTCGCTGCCGCTGCTCTCAAAGAGCGGATTCTGCTGCTGCGGCTGCTGCGGCTGCTGCTGCTGTTGTTGTTGTTGCTGTTGGGGCTGCTGCTGATGCGTGAGTATGATGAGCGAGGAGGCCGGCGGCGTGGGCACTGGCTGTGGCTTGCGTGTGGTTATCAGCGTGGCGCTGGGATGATCCCGCATAATCGATGCCCAGACTACGGAACAAAAGAAGATAGTAAACAATCAAAATCACGTACTCTTATCGCTATCGCATATGGGTTATATATAGTTATATATGCATAGTTATAGAAAACACGTTTCGGTGCCAAAAGCACAACAGCACCACAATCCATACAAATCCACAGCTGCAGTTGTTATCGCACGCGGAACTGCATTGTGAGTTCCCACGCTTCTGCTTTCGGATTCGATCTGGTATTCGCTCATAAATATGCAATACTCACTTAGCTCATTGGCATCGCGCTGGTACGGATCGAGTGCCTCCAGCTGCGCCTCGGAGAATGTCTGCAATTTCTCATAGCCATAGCCGAGCAAATTGTGCTTGCACTGGTTCACGGGAAGACCGCCGCCCACCGTTGTCTTGCAGTGCACGCTAACCAGCTGTGCGAACGTCGAGTACAGGTAAGACATCTGCGGCGAGACAGAGACAGAGAGAGAGAGAGAGTGAGAGATGGGGCGAAATTAGAGATAGATTAGAGACTGCATTGGGCAACAGCCTGGGGCAACAGTGCGTGTGAGTGATGCGCTCAAATGAAATGCATTTCAAAATGTATGTCGCGCATTATGCAATACCCGCCCAGCTTGTCTGGGAACGGCGGGGGCGTGGCGGGCAAAGGGTTTGCTCCAGTTTTGTGTTTTAGCTACAATTTTTTCAGCTTTACGGTTCAGCAGACAAAGCAGCGCATGCCCCAAGTCTGGCTTGCCATTCTCTGGGCTCAGCCAAGCGTTGTCTGAGCTGCTCCAATTGCAGAATATTCTAAGCCGGATGACACATACAGAGCAGCTCCGTGATGCGATGACGTGCAGCAGACGCGACAGCCATGCTAATCAAATGGAACACTTGATGTTAATTAAATGTAGAAACTCCCAAAATCCGGCATTCTTAAATCATTAGCAGCCGAGCTCATTGCGAATTTAAAGGCAAACAAAGAAAGTCAGCAGAAAAAACATAAATAATTTTTTTGTACTGACTTAATCAGAAATTCAAGTGAACAGAATTGGGCAATTTTTGCCAATTGCTTAGTTCTTATCATTTAATTAAATTCAAATTAAATTTTAAACGGGTTTTAAATACCGTATCTTAAAAAGGAAACCTTGTAATTTGACCATAGAAATTAAATTGTAGTATTCTATTCATTATTCGAGAATTCGAGCCTTCTTTTCGATGCACAAGCGATGTCTATGTCTTTGTGGGTCTGCTTACAGTTCTTCTATATAGCACCTTGATCTGGTTGGACATCAAACCAAATAAATATATACATACATTTGCATTGGCTTTCAATTGTATTGCGACTTGACTGCTTGGCTCTGGCTTTTCAGTTTTACAATTTAACGCTGTTTGCATAATGATATGCCCGATATGCACAAAACGCTGTCTCAAATAACAAATTACCGTTAAAGCCACAAACAACAACAACAACAACAATAATAATGGCAACAACAATGGCAACAACCTGTGGCGCATATGTTTATTGACCACAAAACGTGTGCAAACTGTAAAATGCAATTTGAGCCCAAGAAACATATAAGATATATATATAGTAAATATGCCACACACATATATATATATATATATATATATATATATATATCTTTTCTATGCCTGGGCACAGCCAAAATGTTGTGTGTATTATAAAACCGATTCGTGTGCAACACAAATTACTCAATTTACCCAGCATTTATTTATAAATATACGATATACCCGTAGGCTCTATATATTCAAAATATATATGCACGTCAGCGCAATCAGATCTGTGTGGTCCAGTCCCTGACACAAATACTTAGTCAGAATTCAAAAATTTAAGGCGGGTGCTGTCACAGTCACATATCCACATAATATTTATATTAGCTTGATCTTAACTTTATTAAAGCCGAAGGCAAATAACTGAGATCGCACTTGCGGATCTGCCTGGCGGTTTCTTATTTATTAGCAGCTCGCTCAATGATTAACAACCCGACATCAATTGCAATTAATTAAGTGGAAAAAAAAGCATATTTTAATGAATATTTTAAAATGCACATATGCATATGTGCCTGGGAAAGCTGAGAAATGCAAAAAAAAAAACATTAGATCATTTATCAAGTTCTGATATGAAAATAAATAAAAAAAAATTCAGTAGGTTTTGACCTTAAAACGTGAACCCCGCGCTGAATAAATATTATAAAATCTTACGAGCATATGCTAAAAATAGATAAAAGAATAATTAATGTAATGACAAGGAAATTCCAAAGTGTTCTTTAAAAAAAAATAGCTGAAACAAACAACGTATTTAGCACATAACAACATAAATGTACGTCATTTTGGAGCATGACCGGAACTCAATTCCAAAAAATAGCTAAATATTTTTTTGTTTAACATTTATGTTACGTCTGGTTCAATAACCTGCTGATCTGCGCAGTTTATATATTATGAAACGAACGAAAGATAGCAAAACAGGTAAAAAAAAGGGAACAAATTTCAACAATACTTAAAGAGAAACCCGTAAGAAAAAAAATAAAACCGACCCAGACAACACGATCGGCATTACCTTTGGATAAGTTTGTTATAATATATAATGATGACGATGCTGCATTTTTGCTTATGTATATGCCATATGTAGCTGTATGTATATATATCTTTACGTCAAAAGTGTAATGCGAACATAATTTATTTATTGAAGTTCGGGCCAAACCGGCTAAACGCGTTTGCACCTTAACATTAAGGGCAAAACAACAACAGAAACATTGTTTAACGATTGGCCCGATGGGTTTTTGCAATCAAAAATCGAAAGCGCTAGAGATGCGATGAAGCATGCGGGCAACGGTAAACAATATTTAGTTAAAAGTAAAAACGTGCTAAAAAAGAGTTTAACTGGAGAATACCCTATAATTAGACAACAGCAGTCGTGCGTAGCTCCAAAGTCCGTAAATGTAACATACAACATGCTTCACCAAACAGTTATTTACATTACTGACAAAGTCTTACTTACAATCATGAGAATCGCATAGACGGGCCTGCCGCATTTGTAGAAGTAAAGCGTGTGCGCTTAGTTTCTGCTATCTGTTACACACGCCAGCAAAACTTCAGCAAACCCTTTGCGTTAAAATTGTATGGATATTACATTTTCTATATAGTATATATACTATGTTCGATATGTGCGCGCGTAAAATCGAAATGCCAATTAGCAAATTCTAGTAAATACTTTGCATGCCCGCCCGTCCTCTTTTGTTGATGTCAGTTGCGCAAATTGCGTTTTAGAATTCGAATTTCTGCAATTAATTAGCTTTTGGAAATTATTTTCTTATTTGTCTATGTGATATGCGGGTGCCGGATGTGCGCCTGTCTCTACACACATAGCGTATCGTATCGCATTACAAAAGCAACTTTGCTTTCCATTGTTTTATTCTGGCCATTATATAAGTTGGCTTAGAATAGAAAAAAAAAAAACAACAACAACAATCAAGCAAAGGCAATTTTTAAGGCGCAGTTCGCGTGCGATGCGCTGCCAAAATACGATTTCTATGGCTCGGAGCTAAGCCAATCCCCATGACTAGGCGAATTGAGAGGCTCGCCTGGCCTGGCCGGACTTTGGATAAGGCTGTTTATTAATAATATGATTTTTGTGTTTTTTACAACATTTTTGACTTGCCGCAGAGTTCATTAACTGTTTACGAGCGTGTAACGAACACCGAACTGCCAACACTTCCATTGGATGTCCCCTGCCGCCCCCTCTTCCAACGGATGTCCGAGCCCCAATCGCAGTCCAGGTCTTGGAGCAGGCGCCGACTTTGTCACGGTTTGTTGCGCAAAAAAGTGAAAAGCTTTTTTTTTTTTTTTTGATATTTGCTTTCTGTATAAACCCCACCCCTCCCAGGCAATTGTACATGTAAATGAAAATAGTTTGTGTTTTTTTGTTTTTGTTTTTTTATCATAAACGAAATTTAATGCTTGTCTTGTTGTCGTCGTTGCGCTCCGCTGGGCTGCAATGCAGCTCATTTGGTTTTATTGTTCATTTCGGGGTAATTGTTTTTCTTTATGTACACAAATGTTTGCTGTCATTTAAGCCAAATGTTGGGATTTATTGTTGAATTAATGCTTCAATTGTATAGATGGAAAGCATTTAGCTGGCGTTATAAGGAAACGCTCACTGCCCATTTGGCTTAAAGCGTTGTACATCTTGGCCATGTTATTTGGAAAGTGTTTTGTTACCCCTTCAACCAGGTCTTAGTCAGAGCTCTATCATTCTACTTCACACCTGTGCTGTTCGCTATCTTACGTATTGATTCATTTATGTCGCTGGACAGCCTCATGTTGTCTTTGAGCTCTTCTTGTTTTGGCCAAGCGAGACACATTTCTGGCAACTCAAGCAAATATTTGTGTGTGTAAACATGTTTATGCGTTCGTTAAGTGATTCCCACTAACTCGCCAAAACAAAATCACACGCTGCCTTTCTAAATATCCATAAAAGTCTAGAGCTTTTCTGATGAAACCGGCAATATATATAAATATTTGCAAAATGCAAACATTGAAACAAACACAAAACCGATCGATACAAACTAACTATGTAGACCGGCTGGGCCGGTATTTGTTATAGCCATCATGTTCACAGTCATTATGTATACATTCCGGCTAGAGTATATTGTATATAGATATTATGATTTACAGACACGATGCAATTGATAAGGCTGACAATGTCAAGTTCAGGCATCTGACTTTCATATTTATGTCAAGGATGGCTAACGCCGAAATTCTTCAACTGCATATTGAATACTTTGACTTTGCTGTCGTAAAGTGGCAGCAGCTTCTGTTGTTTTATTTATTTATTTTATCTTTTGCTTGAGTATTTATTGTTGAAATTGTGATTCAGCCAAACGGCGGTACAGTTATGCAAATGAGTCTTCGAATATCGAATTTTGCAGCCTTAATGTCTGCTCTCCATGCATATTCAGTATTCAAATATTTGAATGCGGTATTCAAAAATGTTGAAACGAAAGAGTTAACAAAAAGAGCCGTTAAAACTTACACACACTACAGCTAATTATGTGCAGAAATATGCATAATAGTATTTATGATGCTCATTGACAATTTAACCGAAATAAACGAAATTGAGATCTCATAAAAAATATGGATAATTTTATGAATAAATGTGCGAAAAATTGTGCTAGTTTTTTTTTAATATTTTTTTGTTTTTTGGCAAATATCCAATGCCAAGGACGAGTGCACACAGTTCCCATTGTCATTGTAACTGGAGCGAACGTGGCGTATGCGTAATGTGCGTTTGTTATTATGAATATGCATGCAAATGAGCGCTACTCTATGTTCGATTTATGACCTGTACGTATATATAAACAAATATAAATTTATATAATTTACCTTTTCGTTACGCGACAAAAACTCCCAAATGGGTATAGCCGAGGCTGAGCTCATTTGGATGGCCACAGCGCTGATCAGGCAGCTGGCCAAGATTAGTCTCGCGGCGTTCATCATGTTGTTATTGGTGTTGTTGTTGTTGCTTGCTGTGGCAAGGGTTGCCTGATTGCCTTTGATCCAACCGGTCACCTGTGTCAATTGCACACCGTTAACGTTGCTGCGCGTTGTTTGTGTAATCCGCGTTGCCAGACTTTCTATTTTGACTCAACCCAAAAACTAAACGCATTTAAATTTAACACCAAGAGTCGAAAAACTTTCTCAACTTTAATTTGTGCTCTTCGTTTTCGCACTTAATTAAATTAAAATGAACAACAAGCTTTACTAAATTTTGTTTTATTTGTTTGTTTTCTTCTGTCTCAGCTTAAAACGCAAAAGCTCGTTTCACATTTTACACCCACAGCTGAAATTCCTCACATACACACACACACAAATATGTATACACGCAAGCAGATTACTTGCCAGATGTGAACGCGACCGCGACTCGTCTTCAAATGAAGCAACAGGCACCGGCGCACACGTATTTATGCTCTGAGCGGCACTGAGTGGGTGATGTGTGCGTGTCACGTACTCACTAGCGCGCACTAGTATTGTGCCTATGAATACTCAGGCCATAGCGACGGCTTGCTCTCTGAAGTATCGACACGAGCGCAGCTCTAACTGAGAGCGTAGCTTACGAGAGCGCCTACAAGAGTGTGCTAACTACGCTCTTTCTCGCACTCTCGCATTTGAAGCGACACACACACACACACACATGGCAAACTTGTTCTACGCGCTTGCAGCTAAAATAGAAATTGTGAAAAACAACAACAACAACAACAACAAGAGCAACAAAAACATTGCAAATTTTCAAAGTCAAGTTTACAGGCCTCACCAAAAGCAGTTGTGCTTCAAAGTGTAATTAATTAATATGCATTTATTTGTGGGAATTGCAATTCAGTAGCTCCGGTTGTTTGTTGTTAACACAAAATGCCAAATATTTAACAATCAAACGCTAATTAAACCAAATAAAAATATAGTCTGCCATACAAACATATGAATGTGTATAAACGTATGTGCATGTGTGTATGTGCAGTATTATGACGGCGGCGCCAAGCGGAGCTCCTCTTTTGTTTGAGCGTTAATTTTCGTGCAATTTTTTTTTTTTTTATAGGAAAAGTAAAGAATGACAAAAAATAATAATAATATAAGGAAATAATCTGAAACGGCTTGGAATTTGTGTCGCAATTGCACAAAACCAGTTTGAAAACATTTTACTCAAACTAATTACTCAAGGATGGAATTTCCTAATTATAAAATCACATTGAATTCAATTTACAGGCTCGTTGCGCTGCAAATGAATGAAAATTAATTGCATTGCGCTTTCTACATGTCAAACAAAGTTCTTTTCAACATGCGAAATTGGGGACGCCTTGGTACAGTCACCACAAACGGAGAGAAATGTAAGGGGATTGAAATGAAAGCCACCGAAAACCGTTAAACATAAGTAACGTTAATGCCTTGCAACATGTCAGGGGGCTGTCTCTTTCCGGTTTCTTAATGATAAGAGAGCAAGCTTTTAGGGAGCTCAATTCTTCAAAATTTGTTGTATAATTTCTGGTTTTATTTAAACCATTGCGCACACAAAGATACAAAGGCTGCCAATAGCCGAATACACATAGGGTATACACCAGTAGCAAGTACCACTTTTGGATACCCTGTATTCACACTTGTCGCTCATCTACAAACGGTTATACTCCATAAAGTTGCGATTGTAGCGATTGTTGCTGCCATACAAATCGCTATCGTCCGTGTTGTACAGCATAAAATTGTTGCCAAGTCCATCGTCAGAGCCAAAGATCGGTATATAGCTGTTGAAGTTGAGATCCTGCTTCAAACGTTGGTCCGGATCGCGTCCCAGGTGTATAACCTTGTCGTACAGCTCCGTGTCGGCCTGCAGGGCACGATCAAAGTCCTTCCAGTGCACAAACTTGACATGCTCGCTGGGTATAGCATTTCGATCCAGTAGCTCAAGTAGCGTGTTCGAATTAACCGGCTGCACAACGTTCAGCTCGTGTTCCACATGGCCAGCGCCGACATTGTTGGGCAGGCGACGCTTGCTGAGCTGCGGCTGAGCCATGTCCATGTCCATATCCCAAAGCCAGGCTAGCAAGGGTGTGACAGAGGCCTAAAGCGAGGGAAACTTAGGTTGCGTTTTGGTCAGAGAATATGACTTTACTTACTTGGGGATCGCTGCGTCCAATGCGTGGTATGGTCTTAATGTTCTTCATGGGAAAACCTTCGCTGCGCTTGCCCAGACGTGGCACGTTTTTGGTGATCTTCAGAAAGAAGCCAGGACTCTCATCGGCATGTGCCGAGCTCCAGAGCCCAGCCAGAAGTAGCACAGCGTACAACAGGATAGTGGGTGAACTCATGCTGCTGGCCGCTGTTCAACTGTGCCAGGTTGAAGGCTCCAAGGCAATTTTTATATAGAAATGTTGCCCACATACAATTGCCTGGGCAGATGCGGGCAACAGCTGCTTAAAGAATTTGCATTATCGATCAAGAGCACAATTGACCTAATTACATAATGAACAATAACAATTTATAAGTTAACATGCGTGTGTGTAGACAAGTGTGTATTTAAACATAGAAATAAATAAGTTATAAAATTAAGGAATATTTGTTGGCCAATTGTTGCCATCAGATCAACGAACTCTGCGCCCATTGCGCCACCTCCGTGGGCAGTGCCTGATAGCGCTGCACTGCGTGCTGGATCTGTCCATATGTTAGAGCCAATTTGTGCATTTCAAACTCCTTTTGCAGCTTGCCCATGCCGCTGCTGGATAGGGGCATAATCAGCTCGATAATGCGCAAATGCTCGAAGGCTTTTAATACTACGGCGCGCTCCACGCCCTGCATGGTCGAGGACACCTTGGCGAACTTGGAGAAGCGTGCAAATATGATTTCAAAATTGAACGGATCTCTGTCGTAAATGCTGGAATGATGTTTTATGGCAATGATCAGGCACAGCTCCAGCACTGAGAGACCGCAGAGCAGTTCCACTTTATCGTCGCATTCGTATTGTGCGGCCAGCGCTGTGAGCTGCTCGGCCGTAATGTGTGGCGCCTCCGGTTTCAGCTGTGCCACTAGACGGAATATAAAGGTCTTGAGGAATGCTTCGCTTATATCAAAATCGTAGAGCATTTGCAGCGTTTTCTGTGCAGCTGCTGACTTGCTAAGTTTCACAATCTGTTTGTTCCAGTTCTCCATATGCTTCTTATCAAAATTGTATTCAACTCCATCGAAATGATTACGTTGAAAGGTAAATGCTTCCGATTTGAGCAGCTGCAGGCTGTCAACGCGATCAGCCGCTGCCTGCAGCTCCTTGCTGCTGGGTATGCTCATTAGCTGCTGGAAGAGCGCCACATACTCCTCGAATTTGCGGGCACTGGGAAAGAGAAACACTTGTCTAGGAAAAGAGAAGATCATAAGTGTAAGTGGGGAGTATAAACATTTAAGGGACAAACTGACCTGTGCGAGAACCGGGATTTGACGCGCTTCTCGAGCAGCTCAATGACATCTAGGCGGCAGGTTACGCCCAGCACACAAATTGGCGCCTGCGCTGATTGCGATACATCAAATAAATTGTACAGCAGAGTTTGATTGTGATGTGTGCAAAAGAGATCGAATTCCTCCAGCACGAAGACAACGCTTTTGGATTTCTTGTCGCCCGCCTTGAGGCACTGCAGCAGAAAGGCCAGATTCTCAGCAAATGAGCCAAACACCTTGCCGTCGGCCGCATTCTCCAGGCGCATTTGCACAGTAATTGATTTAAGAGCAATGCGATCGTCTGTATGCAGATTTCCATCCAGGTGCACAATGAGCGTGTTGTCCACAAACGATTTGTTCTCCATCAAATCCGTGAGCACGGCATTTATTAGCTACGGCATAAGCAAAGGTGTTAAACAGCATATTGGGCGAGTGTTGTAGCGAGTACTTACTGTGGTCTTGCCAGCGCCGCGCGGCCCTATCAAAAGCAAAGAATTTGATTCGCCCATTTCGGCTGTGCGTTGCAGCAGCTGGCGTACATTGGAACGCTCCGCCTCGTAGCCACGGAGTGTGCTGTAGTCGCGCTGCAGTCGCTCCTTTAGAAAACGACGCGTTTTAATTAACTCCTGCACCGAATCATGCATAATTCAATTAAAATTGATTTAATCACTGGGCTTGGATTGTGTATGTAGCTTGTTTTGAATAGAAATTGCCGCCAAAATATCAGCTGTGCTAGTGGTGGAATATGACCGATAGTTCTCTACAACGATTGTCAGTGCTGCGCGTTCTGGCAGCGAAACCGTTGCGCAACGGTGCTGCTTGAATAATTCAAATCTTAACGAAACAGCGCCACACAACGAACAGCTTTGACACTATAATAAGATCATTTAACTTAAGCCACTCAACGAAACAAGCCTGAGTTTTCGGCATAAATAACCGTTTTCATTTAATTGTAACGTACTTAACGAAATTTCAATATATTTGAATTTCTGTCGAATTGCTCAGATAGATATCGCTATTCATTCCACATATAATTAACAACTGCAATGGAGCATATAAAGTCATTTTTCATTCAAATCCAGTACAGATCGATCGTTTAAGCCAAACAGAGGTTTATTAAGCGGCCCCGTAATGAGTTTAATGCGTTTCAGTTTAATATTCACAACATTTTGCTTAATTGGCGTAAGTCGAAATATAGTTATTATATTTTCTTAAATTTTAGCTTTATTTTCCAGATAACTGCCCTTGTTGAGTTCAACAATGTTAAGTGCTCGACTAGAAACCCAGATTTTCTTAATTACGAATATTGCTTTCTCAAATCTGTGAATCGAACCTACAAATATTTGTCGGTCAAATGTCATCTCTCGCAGCTGCCCATCACGAATGCTTGGGTAATTAAGTTCAAATCCCCTTTAAAACGATTTAATTACTTAAAAACTATGTTCCATCTGTTAATAGATGACATACAAGATAATTAAGCGTGACAGTAGGAACATCTTTGAACGATTTAATGCCACGATAGACGTCTGCAAATTTATGAAAGATCGCAGCAATCAACTTGCCAACATTTTATTCAACTCATTTGCAGACTATACAAATGTTAATCACACCTGTCCCATAAATGTGCGCATGTTTCTTGTTTTCTTTTTTTTTTCTATTAAACTTAAAGCCTTTTCGTTTCCAGCACGACATTATATTGGAAAAACTCCCAGTTCAGCATGTGAACAATATGGTAGGACATATATTTCCCGATGGCCGTTATATATTGAATCTAACCTATTATACATCCCGTATTCCTCGCGCTGATGTGTAGTTGTACGTCACCAAATCGTAGAATTGTGTGTTTGTGTCAAATGCGATTCTTAAATGTTGAATTGTCAATTCCTCAGCCCAGTCAGTTTAAAAAAATTTGTATGTTAGGCTGACTTTAATCAGAAAATAACAGTAAAAAGCAAAAATCTAAATAAACATATTCCACAATGCCGCTCGAAGTGATTACCACAGATCAGTTGAAATATCATCGTCTGGTGGCCAACAAGGATAGCCAGTCGAGAGATCGCTGGCAGAAATGTTTCAGCTGGTATCCAGGCAGGCAGAACATCGAGTTTAATCGCGTCGGTCAGATCTACTGCGAGAGCCATCACATCTACGGCGACGAGGCATTCGAGAAGTATGCCCGGCGCCAGCGATTGAACAAGAAGCATTGCTACTCTCATGCCGATGCGGTGAAGATTCTGGAAAAGCAAGACGAGCAAAGTCTCGATGTTAACAGCGAGGCCAAGGTGCCGCCCACCACGAACGCGGAATATGGACGTTTTAGGCCCACACGTATGCACTTTTGCTGAACACGAATTGGAATCTATATAACACTTTTAATTCAATAAAACGCACTTCCTGACAAATTCATCTAGAGATCAAGCTATGAACAAAGAAGGTCAGTTGAGATTTGACCGGTTTATGGGTGTGGGAAATAATACCTATGTCTATATAGGATATTTGAGGGAGCCATTTGAACATGAATTTTGATCTAGAAATATGTTTCCAGATTAAGATGCACAATTGATCTAGACGCCAAACCATGAACAAAGAAGTAAACCTTATGAAAATTGGATGTGATTTGACCGAGTTATGGGGGTGGGAAGTTTTGACCTATGTCTATATGGGATATTTAACATGAAATTTGACCCAGAAATATGTTTCCAGATTAAGATGCACAATTGATCTAGAGGTTAAATCATGAGCAAAGAAGTAAACCTTATGAAAATCGGATGAGATTTGACCGAGTTATGGGGGTGGGAAGTTTTGACCTATGTCTATATAGGATATTTGAGGGTACCATTTCAACATGAATTTTGACCCAGAAACATGTTTCCAGATTGAAATGCACAATTGATGTAGAGGCCAAACCGTGAACAAAAAGCCAAACATTATGAAAATCGGATGAGATTTGACCGAGTTATGGGGGTGGGAAGTTTTGACCTATGTCTATATAGGATATTTGAGGGTACCATTTCAACATGAATTTTGACCCAGAAACATGTTTCCAGATTGAAATGCACAATTGATGTAGAGACCAAACCGTGAACAAAAAGCCAAACATTATGAAAATCGGATGAGATTTGACCGAGTTATGGGGGTGGGAAGTTTTGACCTATGTCTATATAGGATATTTGCACATGAATTTTGACCCAGAAACATGTTCCCAGATTGAAATGCACAATTGATGTAGAGGCCAAACCGTGAACAAAAAGCCAAACATTATGAAAATCGGATGAGATTTGACCGAGTTATGGGGGTGGGAAGTTTTGACCTATGTCTATATAGGATATTTGAGGGTACCATTTCAACATGAATTTTGACCCAGAAACATGTTTCCAGATTGAAATGCACAATTGATGTAGAGGCCAAACCGTGAACAAAAAGCCAAACATTATGAAAATCGGATGAGATTTGACCGAGTTATGGGGGTGGGAAGTTTTGACCTATGTCTATATAGGATATTTGAGGGTACCATTTCCACATGAATTTTGACCCAGAAACATGTTTCCAGATTGAAATGCACAATTGATCTAGAGGCCAAACCGTGAACAAAAAGCCAAACATTATGAAAATCGGATGAGATTTGACCGAGTTATGGGGGTGGGAAGTTTTGACCTATGTCTATATAGGATATTTGAGGGTACCATTTCAACATGAATTTTGACCCAGAAACATGTTTCCAGATTGAAATGCACAATTGATGTAGAGGCCAAACCGTGAACAAAAAGCCAAACATTATGAAAATCGGATGAGATTTGACCGAGTTATGGGGGTGGGAAGTTTTGACCTATGTCTATATAGGATATTTGAGGGTACCATTTCAACATGAATTTTGACCCAGAAATATGTTTCCAGATTGAAATGCACAATTGATCTAGAGGCCAAACCGTGAACAAAAAGCCAAACATTATGAAAATCGGATGAGATTTGACCGAGTTATGGGGGTGGGAAGTTTTGACCTATGTCTATATAGGATATTTGAGGGTACCATTTCCACATGAATTTTGACCCAGAAACATGTTTCCAGATTGAAATGCACAATTGATCTAGAGGCCAAACCGTGAACAAAAAGCCAAACATTATGAAAATCGGATGAGATTTGACCGAGTTATGGGGGTGGGAAGTTTTGACATATGTCTATATAGGATATTTGAGGTTACCATTTTAACATGAATTTTGACCCAGAAATATGTTTCCAGATTGATATGCAGAATTGATCTAGAGGTCAAACCATGAACAAAAAGCCAAAGTTTATCAATATCGGATGAGATTTGACTGAGTTATGGGGGTGGGAAGTTTTGACATATGTCTATATAGGATATTTGAGGGTACCAACTTTACATGAATTTTGACCCAGAAATATGTTTCCAGATTGAAATGCAGAATTGATCTAGAGGTCAAACCATGGACAAAGAAGCAAACCTTATGAAAATCGGTTGAGTTTTGATTGAGTTATGGGGGTGGGAAATTATGCCTATGTCTATATAGGACATTTGAGGGTAATAATTTCACATGAATTTTGACCCAGAAATATGTTTCCAGATTGAGATGCACAATTGATATAGAGGCCAAACCGTGAACAAAACGCCAAACATTATGAAAATCGGATGAGATTTGACCGAGTTATGGGGGTGGGAAGTTTTGACCTATGTCTATATAGGATATTTGAGGGTACCATTTCAACATGAATTTTGACCCAGAAACATGTTTCCAGATTGAAATGCACAATTGATGTAGAGGCCAAACCGTGAACAAAAAGCCAAACATTATGAAAATCGGATGAGATTTGACCGAGTTATGGGGGTGGGAAGTTTTGACCTATGTCTATATAGGATATTTGAGGGTACCATTTCAACATGAATTTTGACCCAGAAACATGTTTCCAGATTGAAATGCACAATTGATGTAGAGACCAAACCGTGAACAAAAAGCCAAACATTATGAAAATCGGATGAGATTTGACCGAGTTATGGGGGTGGGAAGTTTTGACCTATGTCTATATAGGATATTTGCACATGAATTTTGACCCAGAAACATGTTCCCAGATTGAAATGCACAATTGATGTAGAGGCCAAACCGTGAACAAAAAGCCAAACATTATGAAAATCGGATGAGATTTGACCGAGTTATGGGGGTGGGAAGTTTTGACCTATGTCTATATAGGATATTTGAGGGTACCATTTCAACATGAATTTTGACCCAGAAACATGTTTCCAGATTGAAATGCACAATTGATGTAGAGGCCAAACCGTGAACAAAAAGCCAAACATTATGAAAATCGGATGAGATTTGACCGAGTTATGGGGGTGGGAAGTTTTGACCTATGTCTATATAGGATATTTGAGGGTACCATTTCCACATGAATTTTGACCCAGAAACATGTTTCCAGATTGAAATGCACAATTGATCTAGAGGCCAAACCGTGAACAAAAAGCCAAACATTATGAAAATCGGATGAGATTTGACCGAGTTATGGGGGTGGGAAGTTTTGACCTATGTCTATATAGGATATTTGAGGGTACCATTTCCACATGAATTTTGACCCAGAAACATGTTTCCAGATTGAAATGCACAATTGATCTAGAGGCCAAACCGTGAACAAAAAGCCAAACATTATGAAAATCGGATGAGATTTGACCGAGTTATGGGGGTGGGAAGTTTTGACCTATGTCTGTATAGGATATTTGAGGGTACCATTTCAACATGAATTTTGACCCAGAAACATGTTTCCAGATTGAAATGCACAATTGATGTAGAGGCCAAACCGTGAACAAAAAGCCAAACATTATGAAAATCGGATGAGATTTGACCGAGTTATGGGGGTGGGAAGTTTTGACCTATGTCTGTATAGGATATTTGAGGGTACCATTTCAACATGAATTTTGACCCAGAAATATGTTTCCAGATTGAAATGCACAATTGATCTAGAGGCCAAACCGTGAACAAAAAGCCAAACATTATGAAAATCGGATGAGATTTGACCGAGTTATGGGGGTGGGAAGTTTTGACCTATGTCTATATAGGATATTTGAGGGTACCATTTCCACATGAATTTTGACCCAGAAACATGTTTCCAGATTGAAATGCACAATTGATCTAGAGGTCAAACCATGAACAAAAAGCCAAAGTTTATCAATATCGGATGAGATTTGACTGAGTTATGGGGGTGGGAAGTTTTGACATATGTCTATATAGGATATTTGAGGGTACCAACTTTACATGAATTTTGACCCAGAAATATGTTTCCAGATTGAAATGCAGAATTGATCTAGAGGTCAAACCATGGACAAAGAAGCAAACCTTATGAAAATCGGTTGAGTTTTGATTGAGTTATGGGGGTGGGAAATTATGCCTATGTCTATATAGGACATTTGAGGGTAATAATTTCACATGAATTTTGACCCAGAAATATGTTTCCAGATTGAGATGCACAATTGATATAGAGGCCAAACCGTGAACAAAACGCCAAACATTATGAAAATCGGATGAGATTTGACCGAGTTATGGGGGTGGGAAGTTTTGACCTATGTCTATATAGGATATTTGAGGGTACCATTTCAACATGAATTTTGACCCAGAAACATGTTTCCAGATTGAAATGCACAATTGATGTAGAGACCAAACCGTGAACAAAAAGCCAAACATTATGAAAATCGGATGAGATTTGACCGAGTTATGGGGGTGGGAAGTTTTAACCTACGTCTATAAAGGATATTCGCGGGTATATTCCGGCCAATTTGCCACTGTTGCAGGCGAAATTTCCCAAATCGCTGAGGCACGTATTCATTAAGTTTTTATAGAGATTAACTCTATTTATTGGCTTTTTAAACTAAGAAGAAAAGTGCCGCATTTTCACTCTCAGTTTTTGCTCTAGCGGCAAAATCAGTAAACTTTTAGCTTGACGGGCTGCACAACAGATGGCGCCAGCGGGCAGCTCAAGGCGCGCAAATACCGGCCATTTTGAATTTATGCTGTGTGCTAGGTCAACACCTACAATTACACCTACGACACCTGAATCCACACACAGCATATGGCTACACCTGTCACCTCGGCTCAGGTCAGCAATATTTGGTCAAGTGGTTTAGCTATTGGCAACGCCTGACCATATTCAGCTGTCCATCATTATACTCTCGCCGAGGGTATTATAGTTTTGTAATGTAGGTATCTTTGATCCCATTAGGAATGTATGCGACTTGATTAGATCCACGAGCTGAGTTCAGCTGAGCCTCTCAGTTTTGTAGCTATGTTGATGAGACTTTTTGGAGTAGGTCGAATCGAATTACTAGATCGTATAGCTGCCATAGGGGCTAGCAACAATATGCGATAGGTTAAGATATACAAAGCATTATTTTCCTTATATCTG